AGTAAACTGGGGCAAAAGATCCAATTTCTCCTCCCTCTGCTTGTGTAAAAACTGCAGGGTAGATAGCAGTGTCCATGAAGACGAAGGATGCCATTAGCTGGGAAGGTGAGCAAGAGATTGGTGAGGTGCCTATTAGCTGCTTTGCCCACTGGCTTATTATTGTCAACACATACTGCTTAATTAACTAGCAAGTAGCATTCGTCCGTGCCAATGAATCGATAGCTTAAGCTAATCTGCAAAGAGATTCCACAAGGACATGTAAAGATAAAATTAACAAGCTAAAAGCATGCCACCAAAGTAAGTTTGAAAATAGCTCAATGACCAAGCCTGCCGCATCGTTCTGTGTGTACATTTTCTGCATTGAGAGAAACAGAACACCCTTTCAGTATTTCTTTATTGAAGCAAGAACACCTGCAATTCTGAAACTTGCTTGGTTTGAGACAGCAGCGGAACTTTTGCTGATGCTGAAAAATTGAGAAAGGTCTTGTGTTGTATATGAATGGAATTTATACACGAGGTTCCGTGACATACCAGTTGAGTCAAACCATATGCAAATTAACCGGAGAGAATAGAAAGGGGCAAATTATCGAAGTTAGAAGTAAACTGGGGCAAAAGATCCAATTTCTCCTCCCTCTGCTTTGCGTAAAAACTGCAGGGTAGATAGCAGAGTCCATGAACATGATGGATGCCATTAGCTGGGAAGGTGAGCAAGAGATTGGCGAGGTGCCCATTAGCTGCTTTGCCCACTAGCTTCTTATTGTCAACACATAATGCTTAATTAACTAGCAAGTAGCATTCGTCCGTGCCAATGAATCTATATTTTAAGCTAATCTACAAAGAGATTCCACAAGGACATGTAAAGATAAAATTAACAAGCTAAAAGCATGCCACCAAAGTAAGTTTGAAAATAGCTCAATGACCAAGCTTGCCGCGTCATTCTGTGTGTACATGTTCTACATTGAGAGAAACTGAACACCCTTATAGTATTTCTTTAGTGAAGCAAGAACACCTGTAATTCTGAAACTTGCTTGGTTTGAGACAGGAGCGAAACTTCTGCTAATGCTGAAAATTGAAAAAGGTCTTGTGTTGTATATGACTACAATTTGTACACGAGGTTCGGTGAACATACCAGTTGAGTCAAGCCATACGCTGATTAACCGGAGAGAATTAGAAAGGACAGGGTCTTCAAATTCTCATCCTGATGCCTTACCAAGCCTATGACAGCGTACCGGAGAGTGGTGACAAGCAAGACAACAAATGAAGCGTTGATTGGATACGCCCATCCTCTTTTTGCATAAAAAAATGCAGGCTAAAACCAGACAGCTTAGTCCACAAAGGCGGCGAGCTGCGATTGTCATTGCGAAAGAGACTGACGAGCTACTTATTGTGATCACCATGCAATTTATTAGTCCTTCCATTTCAAGAAGTATTAGGTTTGTTTTAAGTCAAACTTCATTAAGCTTTCATCCCATAGGGCACGTTTCAAAGTCGAGCGTGTCCAGTGGGTTTCCTGGTAGTGCCGAACTCGCTCTCCCTTCTTTCCCGTCTCATGCAAAACTTCTGAACTGTATTTCCATTATCAGTAATGGAAAGGGGATAGCCCGGTTAATAAAAATTTCTTTAAGTTTGACCAAGTTTATATCAACATCTATAACACCTAATTTGCTTCATTAGAAATATATTTGCATATTATACATATTGATATTGTAGGTCTTTTGCAGATTTTTTTATAAATTTGATCAAACTTGAAAAAAGTTTGACTTAGGACAATCCTAGAACTTTGGGAGTACTATGTGGTAGCATCAATTCTAAATTGGTCTACTTATTAATCTCGGTAAATCTGTCCACCTCATTTAGATAGATACTAGCCTAACCCGCGCGGCGACACGCCGCGCTCGATGATCACTCGCAAAGGTGCAATCTATTGATTCAAGAATAGATTAGTGCATGCTCATTTAATCTCAGAACAATACATGGAGACATTGAAGAGACCAAACATACGAAACTATTGAAATTTTGCAAATGTAGGGATACAAAGATACAAACTAAAAGTACCACACTTCTGAGGCAAACCAATTATTCGAACTAAATACAGTTCACTGTACGCAGAGAACTGTATATAGAAACACAAATACGCTACATAAATAAGCTAGAAATAGTTGCTAGTGGATTAGATAATCCTAGTATATCCTCCTACAGGATTGGTGCCTGTGGTAAAGTGGTAAAGTGATTTTGCAAATTTTTGCATACGTCGACAGGAGGGTGCGCGCCTGTGTATGTGATGATGGGATCGTCACTGTCTGGGCGCTGGGGGTACATGTGAAGTGGTAATATATCAAAGAAGTTGTTGCATATCTTTACTAGAATCATTGTTTGTCTTGTAAACTCGTTTTGCTGTGTAGTTACTTGCTGGCGGGCCATATATAATTGCCATTGCTTTTTTTGGGCTTTCTCTGTTGCTGTAAACAACCTTTCCTTTGTAACTTCAAGGGCATATTAATTATGGTCATTAATAGAAATATTATAGTCTGCACAGATGCATTCTAGGGCCACTTGAGCTGCCTTTTCCATTGCTTCATCTTGTGTATTAGCTGTCTCTCCTTCATATGTTATGGAGGATTCTCTGAAACTATCTTTCTGACGTGGCAGAACAATTAGTACGGGCGCTTGTATCATACCTTCATGAACATACCAATAGGTGTTCCTTTTTACTTTTAGGCCAATTATTTCACTCACCGTTTCAAGTATTGGTCGTCTTGGGATGTGCACTATAAGATTCTCCTCCTGCATGGAAGAATTTGTAATATAATAAGTTGCTTACTTGCAAGAGATAAACGAAAACAAAATGTTAGGTGAAGGCAAGAGGTTACCAAGCTGCTTGCGCTGCCATGATTAAAATTTAGGGTTGGATGTTTGCCCTTCTTCTTAACTTGCTTTGCTATGGAAGATGCTCTTTTGGGGGCGGTAAGCTTCGTCCATTGTGGTGTACTCAAGTGATCTTGTTCGTGAGTGCACAACCGGTAATATATAGAGCATGCAGAAATGAGTGAGTCATCGTTGCGCTTCGTTGAGGCCGCCAAATGGCAAGCATTTTCTGCACGCTACTTCAGTAGGTGTCACATCTTGTTCTACGTCGAGATAAAAGGAAAGATGGACGGCTGCATGCCCAGGCTGTATGCAGAAAACAGGCGGGTCAGACTGTAACCCTGCTCGTTCAAAGCGGTGGCCTCGTATGATGGTGTTTTTTCCCGACAGCATACATGCAAATAATAAAAATAATTACAACAATGTGAGCTCGCATCGTGTAGTTTGCATACACATGGAAATAAAAATATTATTGATATTCAGTAAAAGTTGGATATATATTGAGAAACAGTTCCTTATATAACACTATTTTAAATTTCATTTCTTTATTTGACACTGAAAAACTTTTTCTTCCTTATCTAATAACGAATCTAAATTTTATGCCCTTTATGACACTTTCATCCATTTTAAGACTAAATGACACCTGAAAAAACCTTTTTGCCCCTCTTGTGGTATGTGTGTGCGATACAGTAGTTCACACACAATATCAGCTGCAGCATATACACACGCATCAGCACATACACAGCGGCAGCACATACACACCTAGCGGCAGCACATACACAAGAACGCAACACACATGCACGCAACATACAGCAACACACACGGACACACCTACGCATCAACACACGCACAGCTGCATGCATGCACACACAAACACGCAGTCACGCAACAGCACACACCGAGCAACATGTGC